ACATTTGATCACTGTGTTTACGTGAAAAATTTTTCAGATGGTGATTTTATTATTCTCTTGTTGTATATTGATGACACATTGATTGTTGGCCGTAATACTATGAAAATTGACAGATTGAAAAAAGAGTTGAGTAAATCTTTTACAATGAAAAATTTGGGTCCAACTAGACAGATACTGGGGATGAAAATCTCACGAGACAGGCAAAATGGAAAGCTTTGGTTGTCTCAAGAAAAGTATATTGAAAAGGTGCTTGACAGGTTTAATATGAGCAAAACTAAGGAATGTTCTTTATGCGTCGGCTGTTGGTAGTTTGATGTATGCCATGATTTGCATCAGGCTAGATATTGCTCATGCAGTTGGAGTAGTTAGTCGGTATCTCTCCAATCCTAGCAAGGAACATTGGAATGCTGTCAAATGGATTCTCAGGTAACTCAAAGGAACTTCCAAATTGTGTTTGTGTTTCAGTAATGGTAAATCTATAATAGATGGGTGCACTGATGTAGATATAGTAGATGATCTTGATAATAGGAAATCCACATCTAGATACTTGATGATTTTTGCAGGGGAAGCAGTGTCATGGCAAAGTAAATTACAAAAGTGCATTGCCCTTTCCAGTACAGAGGCAGAGTATATCACAACCACTGAAGCATGCAAGGAGATTCTTTGGTTGCAGAAATTCCTTCAAAATTTGGGTATGAAGCAAGAGAAGTATAGTCTTTACTGTAACAGTTAGAGTGCCATTCATTTGTGTTAAAATTCTACATTTTACTCTCGGTCCAAACACATTGATGTGAGATATCATTGGATTTGGAAAGTACTGAATTCCAAATTATTAATACTTGAGAAAGTTCACATTAATGACAATGGTGCTGATATACTGACCAAGGCGTTGCCTAAGGAGAAACTCCTATTTTGCAGACAGGAAGCAGGTTTGACTATACCCCCCAAATGAGCTGGAGGGGGAGATTGTTGGACTTGTGTGGGCCAACCCATATGTGGGCCAACCAAACACACAAGTGAACAAAACTTGAGGGTTTTTCAAGTATAAATACAAGCAGCAGCCGCGAGAGAAGTTTTCTTCTTTGGTGTGAAAAAAAGCTACAGTCGCCACTTTTCTTGTTTTTGAGAAAAACAAAGAGAGAGAAAGAGCTAGAGAGAGAGAGAGAAACTTCAAGGTCTTGATTGGAGGGTGATTCAAATCCCGATTGAGACGAAATTTTACCCACGTGATCCTCTCATCAGGCTCTACTTATCTATTAGTTCAGATTTTGGATTTTCTCTCCATTTGATAACACCTTTCCAAACCTACTTCTTTGACAATTATAGTTTTTGGGGGTGATTGTGCAGTAATTTCGCTTGGTTGATATTGGTGATACTATTGTCATCCGAATATTTCGGATAGACCTGTGTATTTTTATTATTATAATAATAGAGATTTTTTACTAGACTAAGTCCCGTGATTTTTTCAAATTTGGATTTTCCACGTAAAAAATCTTGGTGTTCTGTGCCTTTTATTTTCTTGCATTTTATTATCACTGCTGGCATTATTACTTGGTAATTTGATTTATTCCTATTTTAACTAGTACTTGGGAAAAAAGTAATTTATCTTGGGTTAACTCTAATATTGTGTGCCTGCACCGGTATCCCTTTCCCAACAGACATCACCGATTAAAAATGTGTTATCATGCCCAAATCACACGACTGCATAATGAAATGCATGCATTTCGTTATGCAAAGCATATCAAATTGCTTGGATCTCAAACTCAAAATGACAACTAATGAGCCCACAAGGAAACTTTAAATGAATATGTATGCAACAAAGATCATGACTAAATTGCTTAAAGAGAGTATGAAACTAAATCTCAAAAGTATGCATCGTTTAGTAAACTTACTCAAATATCCAAACTCCTTTCTTTTTTATTTTATTAATATGTTAAACAAAAGGCTTAGGAGATATACACAATGTCCAAACCACGGTTAAAACCGTTAGTGTCTTATTCATTTGGGTTTGCAAAGAGCATGTCCATGAGATACATGCAAAAAAACTTTTAATTTCCACATCTATTATTGCATAATATTGCTAAAATCCTTTTCTTAAGTATAATATCTTGGACCCTTCAAGTAGAGTGAATATTGCATCAGGCACAACCATCAATAATGCATCACCAAGCAAACAGCTGAGAAACAACAAAAGTCCTAATAAGATCCCATATTTAAAATAGAGAAAATGAGTAAAGTAGAAAAGAAACCTAACTTACATAGAATGCATATTGGCTGGCCTTGATTGGCTTCTTACATGCATTACAACATACCTTCAGAACAAGCAACAAAAATGAATTATGTAGCATGAATGAGAATTCTGTACACAAGCAATTATGGCCAATTAGAATCATTGGCAGGTTAAAGTCATCAAAGGTCCGTTGAATCTATCGAGTATCGAATGCAATAAAAAAATGTATTAAGAGTAATTATTTCACCAGTGGAAGCCATATAGATGAATAATGACAACACTTTTTAGTAGTGATTAAGAACATAAGATATAATTCAATTAAATTTCAAATTCAATAGATGTGCTCAAATAGTGGTTAGTGGTGAAACGCCACTTGAACCCAGAGCTAGCTGGTTGAAAAAAAATGCAATATAACTGTTGTTATGTTTTCTGAAAGGTTAGACTATTTGAGCTTCACACAAACGTATTTGCTATTCTTGAACACCCAATTTAACATCCTAAGCCTTTCTCATCAGGACTAAACATTATTAAAAGGAGTTTGAAGTATCAAGATGCTAGTGATGAGATAATATAAGCCATTACAAATTGAATGCCACAATCTCCAGAATGCAGAAGAGTTTTAATTTTTTGCACTTTGGGCATGCATATATTTTCATTTTACATTGATATGTAAAAGATTAAGATTTCTCCAATGTATAGACAAAACGCCCAAGGATGCCAGATATCTTCGTACTTAGTACATTATCCACTATTTTCAGTGTGAATGTCATCTAATGTGTAATAAAGGCATTTGAATACTTCCACCCCAACTCTACAATATTGTCATAAGTAATAAAACATCAAGTTTGTGAAGTAGGCGTGAGAAGCAAGGCTGTGAACTAGCCTTTTATGCCTTCTGAATTTGTGCATGCTCTATCAAAGGAGCCAATCGACCTTGATGGCAAACTCTTCACTCATAGAAACACTATTATGTACTATATATATGAGAAGCAATCTAAAATAGCAACTGATGCAAGTCCATAGGAAGATCTGTTCTCCTTTCTCTATTTGGTTTCTTTAAGTAAAGGAATATTCCATGAGAAAAAATTGGAGAATTTTGCAAGGTAGAAAGTTTTCTTTCTTCTGTTTTCAATTGGAGGTGGGGAAGAAGGAATTAAAGGAAATTTGGCCTAGTTACAACATTTAACAAGTTATCCTTAACACAATCCTTCTTACAATCCCAGTGCTACAAAAGATGTTGTGCAACAAGTCAAAAGAGAAAGATACAAAGCTTATCAAATGCAATGGATCTGTCATCAGCCATAAACCAAACATGTGCATATCTACAAGACAATCATGAAGGCAAATCTAGAAAAGATATTGGTTCTAATCAAGCACTTGCAGCTCATAAATATTGCAGATGTAGACATAATTCACAAGCAGCTCTTCCATTATTGATGGCCATTCATTACTAAAGTGATACTTAGCCAAATCTACAAATATGTCATCTGATTTTCTTTCCCATATCAAGAAGTCATTATTATGAAGTGTATGCGTATATTGAACAATGCTATTCAGTCAAAACAGATAAAGAGCAAACTCTAAGACATTTTTTTATGGATATTTATCTGTACACTAATCAGTGTTAACTCTTTATTCCTCTAATTTTTGTCGCTTGGATTGGGTCTAGTCATGTTGCACCAGATGGAATCTAAAAATCTTCTTTGTCAGTGGAGTACATAAAGTCTTTCACAAGGGTTCAGGGTCTTAGATTAATCTCCTATTATCTACTCCAGAATTTACATAGAAAGTTCCTATTTCTTTCTGATTACCAATTTCTTATGATATCTGATCATTATAAGTCTAGTAATCACACCAAAGTGCGGCCATTTCTTAATAAATATCATTCAAAATTAGTACAGATCACAATTTGATAAACCGATTACTATCTTATTTTGATGCGTAATAGTATTTGACAAATGTTTTATATCAATAAACCAAGAGAAACACTTAGCCAAAAAGTCAACAATTTCAATATCTCTACCACATATGACTACATATATTTAGAAAAAAAAAAAAAAAAAAAAAAGCAAAAACCAACCTGCAAATGAAAAGGACCCTTATCCAAAGCTCTTTCTCTTCCACCAAAAAGCTCAATTTTAAAAAAGAAAATAACAACAAAATTGTTAGAAACTGTATATCTTTATGCACTTGTTACTGATTTGCTCTCAATATTATGCGTGAAAAAATCAAATTTGAAAGAGTAAGGAAACTTTCTTACCAAACAAAAACAACTACTGGCAGAAAAAGGAGCTCTCTTCCAAACAGAAATTCTTCAAACAAAAAAGTAATAACTATTACATCGATACTTCCCCTTTTTTTTCCTTTCCTAAACCTAAAAACCTAAATAACTACCCTCTCTCTTTCTATCACATCAAATCCCGAAAAATAGAATTTAAAATGATGGTTCTTGTGGAAGAACCAAATCCAGTACGCATGACGCAAATTAGACAGCTGACCATTTTCTGGGGAAAAATCCCTGAATTTCAGGCAAAAAGGAGATGGCTAATCTACGAGGAATTTCAAGGATTCCATGTTTCCAGGTACAATCGACATGTGAGGAAGTCATTTCTACTACAAGAACTTAAAAGTATTCTCTAGTGTTCTCGGCAAAAGCAGAAGAGGAGAAATTGGCTCCGTTTGTTTTTTGCAATAGGGAAGAAGAAGCAAGAGCATATTGTGTTAATTCCATATAATTCAATGGGCCAACACCGGACAACACACAAACAGTCCATAAATTCCTTTGGACATCTTAGAATAACAAAAGCTTGAAACCCATCAAACAGAGCAAAATTTCTTCTTCAAAAAAATCAGCATGTGTCAAGTATCAAATAAGCAGTAAACCAGTTGTCAAGAGGGGAAGTAACTACAGTAAAAAAAAACACTCTCTTTTTATTATACTTGAGGGATATAAGAAAAAATTGCTGTTTGACCAAAAAAAAATTAGAGAACATAGGACAAGTTTGTGGATCCGAGTAAAGTACCCAGTAACTTTGCCACACAACATGAATGCCTGACATCTTCATTTTATTATTGTTCAGGGTGTACCTGGTTGACCTCAATCTTCAAGTCTCCAACATTCGCTGAAAATTTGAGTAAGAAAGGTTCATCAAGACTCAACAAACAGATGTCTGAACTGTCAGCGCTATCGGGTGAAACCCAGCCATTTCTTCTTTCTTGGCAGCAAAGAGAACCTCCAAGCGAAAGGCAAATCACTCAAAACAGATGGAAAACATAAGCAACAACATCTGCACTCACCAGTCAGATTCCATCGCAGCTACATCCCAGAGTCAACTACCCTCTGCTTCAAGTCAAGATTCAGACCCACTGACAATCTCCAGCCTTCCACACGACCTCATCTCTGAGATCCTCTTAAGGCTGCCAATGAATTCCCTCATGAAATTCAAGTGCGTTTCAAAATCATGGCTTTCCTTAATTAAAAGCCAGCGCTTCATCAAAGCCCATCTCAACTTCATCAATTCCTCAACAAACAGCCAAAGGGTGCTCATTTTGAGGTGTGTTGACTGGAATTATTATCTCAAACATTGTTCTCTTAGCTCATTATTATATGCACCAGCTACTGATACAGTTGACATTGATTATCCCCCATTTGAAGCACCCTTTAATTTTGTTTCAGTTGTGGGGTGCTGTGATGGATTAATTTGTATTTCCGTTAGGGCAAGTAACATAATTTTGTGGAACCCATCTACTCGAAAATCCAAGAAAGTACCAGATTTAGGCATTAGGCTTGAAGAGGATGAACGTTATACATCATGGGACTTTGAGTATTATATATCATGGGGTTTTGGATATGACGAGATTAATGATGATTACAAAGTGGCAGCGGTGGTGTGCGTTGTTGATGACCATGGTGAGCCCTCTGGGTCTGAGGTTAAGGTCTATAGCACAAAGAGTGAAACTTGGAGGAGTATAGGGGATTTTCAAGGTGGTTATCCTTTGGAGGAATACGGTAGGTTTGTGAATGGGAAGCTTCATTGGTCACTGGATAGAGAAGATTGTGGATATATTGGTTCTCTTGATTTAGCAACAGGTATGTATGGACAGATAAAGAAACCTAAATGTGATGAAGATTCTGAGTCTGAGCTTGAGTCAACCTTGTATGTTTTCCAAGGGTGCCTCTGTTTACTTTGTGATGAGAATGATGATCATACGGATGTTTGGATTATGAAGGAATATGGGGTTACAGAATCGTGGACTAAGGTGTTCACTATCCTGATTAATAAACCGAGCAGGAGTTCAGTTTTTACACCATTGTGCCGATCAGAGAAGGGTGAAGTTTTACTGTTACTTGGATCCAAATTGGTACTCTACAATCCAGAGAATGCTACATGTGTTGATATTTCATTTCGAGATCAAGAGATAAGAGCTTATTATGCATTTGTTTACACAGAAAGCCTAGTTTCGCCTTGCTACTAATGATGCAACAGAGAAGCAACAGCAACAAGTAGGGGAAAGCAACCAACACAAGACAATTGAATACCATCAAGCTACCATCTCGATTAAAAAAAAAAAAAAATTGTCCTCCTTTTCCAATTACCAAGATGAACAATTGAATACCATCAAGCTACCATCTTGTTAAAAACTAAAAAAAAATGTCCTCCTTTTCCAATTGATGAAATTGTTGTTGTCCGGACAACTTGATTGTGCATTTTGTGGCACTCGACTACATATAGTACATTTTAATTCTTGCAGCATTTTCTTTCTTTAACACATTTGATAATTGATGATGTTACAGTCAGCAGCTCGAATTGCATTAGTTTTTGTGTGTTTATTCATTTTCTTATTTATTTTATGTAATCTCTATATCTTTATTGATAGGCAAAATCACATACACCAGATAAGGTGCATATCGAACGCTCAAATTCTCTGAACAAGCATGAAATAAAGAATCAGTATCCATACAAGAAAGCATGTAAATAGTGGGGCTAATTCAGTAGTACATTTAGCAACAGGAGGCTGCTGTAATTTGTTTCGATCTCGTTCCCTTGCCAAGCTTAGATTAAAATGGCAATATATGCCAACAGAAACTTAGGGACTGATCTCTCTTCTGGCTTCATGTTCACTTTTGTACGATGTTAAAATTGCATACATTCGAATGGTTCTTCTGTGATAGTTACTTCATGATGCAAAAGTGTAACTTAGGTCCAAATCACTATAACTTTGTTGATACTATGACGTCCATAGTAGAAGGAAGGACTTTCTAGAAGGAGAAAGCCTGTAATTCCCTAGAACTACTAGCTTTTTAGACCTCAAGCAATTTGTTGTTCAAGAAAACAGGTAAACTTCTAACTAGAACAAGAAAAAGAGACACAAGGACCGTTAAAGCTTAAAGCTCCTTGCCTGGTTGCTGTGAACTCTAGCCAAAGCAGACCTCGCCATGGCAGGAAAAAGAAACCCAACTTGGAGGCTCAAATCCTAGACTCAACCTGCTATAATCAAACAAACCCAACTTGGAGACTCAAATCCTAGACGCTTGAGTTTCCTTCGTTTCCACCCAAAATTTGAACATTTCCAAGTTTCAGAGCTTCGCTGTAAAACTCATCACTTGATTGCTCCAAAGACTCCAAGTAAAGTCTCACTAAGTTATAGCGTGTCTAAAAAAACCGCTTTCATTATTATCAAGTTCATAATTCATGAAATTCCGCATCAAAATATCCCTAGATAAGCATGATTGCGCCCATCTTAGGCTCATGTTTAGCAATTGCAGTCCAAGTGTTTGTTTTAAGGACTGTAGTAGTCTCCAGTCTTTACCAACTGAACCGTTCACCAATTTAATTGACACAAAGTTCTCGTCTTTTTGCTTGTGTTATTGTATTGGGTTGATTTTTGTTCTGGAATAGGGATGATTTATACCTTTGGGACCTGTGATTTTTGAAAATAATAGTTAGGATTCTTGTGCACTAGCTTTTGGTAAGTTTGCTAGGTGAGACGCAAAGGTGGCTAATTTTGGGACGAGGGTAAAGTGGTTTACAAGAGGGGTTCGGTTGTACTGCTCAGCCAATGTTTGCTTTAATTTGGTGCTACGTACATTGGTGTCAGGAAAGATACTTATGGAGAGTTCATGCTACCTAATTATGAAAAGGAGGATGGTAGCTGTGTTTCAGCATAGGAGTGTTGGGAGTAACTCGCTGCCTGCTTTAGATAATTATACAAGAAGTCAGATACATTGTTGATTGAGTATAAGATGAAATATTATGGAATGAAGTAATTGTTGTGCGCTATGAAATGGTTCTGGTGTTGAATGTTGGATCCCAGCATTTTGCCTTTTAGATTATGGTGAAGCATGTTTTATCCATTTATAATCCAGATGATGGATCATTCAGGTTTCTGAGATAACAAATTATTGATGTGTTAGGCGGCATATTTGTATTGAAAGCCTAGTTTCCTTTGCGGCTGATTATGGAACAGAGGATTAATTTACCAATGACTGGGTAAGAGAACTACATTAACGTAAGTGATTCCTGTGGCTTGCCCACACATACAACTTTGCTTCCTCTGTTGCATCAAAAGTGCCCTATAACATCAAATATTTCTTTTCGGTCATGAGGTATCAACTTTTTCACCTAAGAATATCTAACTCCAATATGACATGAACATTTGCACTATTATTCCAAAAATTCTCAGCATAGCTTTCTAGGAATTCTGTTGTCAGGAAGGCGATTAGTTGGAATCAGTATATATATCATCTGCTTATGTATAATTGTATCTGAACTACAATTTCTTTGTGCTCTACACTATTCAGTTTAATGTTTGGGTATCAATTATTAACTAACCCCAGGATTGGGCTGCATCAGACTTTGCATATATTCTATGTCTGTTGTTTGGCACGCGTTTGACCTTCTTGGGACTTAATCGCAGAAAGTGATTACCTTCTTGTCAAATTCCTAGTTAATTGATTGGCAGGCATGTTTCAAAAACTTTGCTAATTGCTAAGAGGCTTGTATGTCAATGGATTAAAAAGGAAACAGCATTCAAGAGTATTGAATTGAAGTGGTGCTCATTTTGATAATTCCTTCATTGTTCATTGAGTCACATTTGAATTTTCTTTTCTTCCTTGACCTGCATTTTTAGGGGGGAGTAGGGTGGTGTTAATGGGTACTTTTATGCCTTTGCAGTATTGGATTGAATTGCTGCTCATTTTGAAGATTCCTTCATTGTTCATTGAGTCGCATTTGTATTTTCTTTCCTTCCTTGTCCTGCGTTTTTTGGGGAGGAGTAGGGTGCTGTTAATGGGTACTGCTTTGCCTTGATTCTCTGTTAATATGAAAATAGAAGGGAACATAACGCTCTCATTATACTGATAGCACGATTCATTTCCTTACGTAAAGTCAATCATCGAATATTGAGAGAGAGAGCCATAAACAATTTACCAAGAAAAGGACGTCCAAGCATCCTGGAAGACCCTGAAATGTATTTGCACAAAGTTTATCACATGTTCTGCCTGTGGATTCAAGTCTGGAACTTCTTTTTGCTGAAGTAGTTGCCTTTCCAGTTGGTAAACAATCTGCTGTAGACCAGAACCGAAACACTAGATAAAGTTTATTAAAGGAAACACATCTTCATACTTGCGGAACATTGATGAGTAATAAGCCAAGGAGAACACTAACTGTACAGCGCATGGGATAAGTATTGGTCTATAGTGGGTACTGTGGCCTTGATTTGTATCTACCATCTTCTGCCTACCATCTTTTGCTTGACTAATGATGTTCCACTTATCATGAGAATGGTTTATACAATACCTAATACCTAATCCTAATCCTGGTGGGGAATTGAAGAACGCTAATCTGCTGACTAAGTCCTTTTAGGGGTAAATTGAGTTATGGTACTTCAGGTGCAAGCATGCTTTACAGAATGCCAAATGAGAGAGGTGTAACGAAACAGGAAAAAGAAAGAGATAAAACTCACGAGGGATTGATATGAAAACAGGAGGAAGAAAGGGCTCATAAAGGACTGCAATAAGCCACGCGTTCCTGCATCAAATAGGCTATTTAGTGTTTCCATTTTGAGAATCAAATTGATGGACAGAAAAATTTAAATACAAGATTTTGAAGGAAATGAATGTAAAGAATTTGAAGCACATAATGTGACTTCTGAATGTATTGACTTCTCAAAGATTCAGAGCATTGGCCGAATGTATAATCAATTTCATTACTCTAATATCAGATAGTTCTCTTTCGGTGGATTGAGTAACAATTCTGGTTCATGGCTGCAATTTCTGGATATTTTGCTATTTGACTTTGAATTTCTTCTGTTAAGCATTAGCATCAGCTGTATTTCTATCTACAAAACAAAAAAAAAATGGAACATAGTAGACTTGAAATATTAACAGTTAGAATAAGTCTTACAGGAAACTAGTCCAAATTCATTGAGACGTGATTTTGAAGCTGGCATACCATGCTTGCTTGTCATCTTGCACCACCATGGAGATCATGGCGGTTTTACAAATTTATGCTAGAGGCATGAACGAATGTCTCTATACTGGAATCAATCTTCTCATTTCTGTTGGAAGCATCCGGAAAACTTGTATTACATTAAACATGAAATACTTAAAGGCTGCCTCCAGAAAGCTAATTATCTGAACTTCCCTATCTTTTGTATGCAAGAAGGCGGTGGGTGCTAGAACTAGCAGCAGACCCTACTCTATCAGATTTTTGTAGCGAGCAGAGGCTTACTTGACGGTATTAATTTACCAGATGCCATGAGGCGGTGCTGAGATCATAAAGTTTGGTTGGCTTGATAGCAAAATTATTGCATTTGCTGGGTTAATACATATGTGAAAAAGTGTGAGCCTGAGAAGTTGCATCCCGGTAAAAAGAATTCAGCATTTTATCTGTTAATGACGTGAATTTATTGTGTACACGAGTAATACAATGTCTAAGAAATCTATTTTCCAAAAACATGACTCTGTAAGTTGTTTCCATTTATATCTTGCACAGGACCAGGGACCTCCCCCCAACACCTAACGGATTTCCAAACTTGTAAATCAAATTTTTTTGGAGCATGACATGAAATGCTATGATCAACACTAAGTTGATGGATTTTGTTGAAATAAGAGCATCTTATTCTGTCCTCAACCAGACAAGTGAACATAATATAGGATCTTGAAAGTTTAAAACCAATAATTGAGGTGGCTTAGGAAAAAATATGAAGTCAACTAAAGTCAATTGCATATCATAGACAAGGAGCTGAAGCGATAAACAACCACGTAATATTGGTTTCTGAGATAACATCCAATACTCACCAAGAGCTCGAGCAATCCTCATCTGGCCTGCTGCTATTGATTGCCTTCGACTTCTTCAAGGTAAGATGAATAACGAAGAAAACCTTGAAGATCAAACTTCAAACGCTACCACGGACAGCCAGATTGCTAGATCACAAGATTCAGACCAATCCATCCTCCCAAACCTCCCCTTTGAACTCATCACTGAGATCCTCCTAAGGCTACCAGTCAAGTCTCTCCTGAAATTCAGGTGTGTTTCGAAATCTTGGCTTTCTTTGACCTTTAGCTCACGATTCATCAAAGCCCACCTCAAGTTGTCTGATGATGATAAGGAATACACTCATCACAAGGTCATTTTACTTGATTTATCACATACTATTGTCAAGTCTTGTTCTCTTCAATCTTTTCTTGATACACCACCGGCTGATCTTGCAACTAATGTTTCACTCCCAGAGGAATTAGTCAAGCATTCATTTTGTATGGTGGGCTCTTGTGATGGATTGATTTGCCTTGAGGTTAGGTATGATTTGTACTTGTGGAACCCTTGTACAAGAAAGTGCAAGAAATTGCCTGGGCCTACTTTTGAAAGGAGACCTGGATGGTTTTATTGTGTCTACGGGTTTGGATATGACAAGTCTAGTGATGATTATAAAGTAGTAGCCATCTTAGCAGAGAGATCAAAACTGGATGGTGTATACCGTGTCACGCAAGTGAGGATTTACAGTATAAGCACTGATTCCTGGAGGAGTATCGAAAATTTTAGGGAAGGAGTAGAATTGGACAAACCAGGAAAGCTTTTTAATGGGAAGCTGCACTGGGCGATACGTCTTTGTGTTGTTTCAATTAATTTAGAAAATGAGATGTGTGAGGAGTTTGAGCTGCCTTATTACGGAGAACATGGAATTGATCTAGCATTAGGGGAATTCGAAGGAAAATTTGCTGTGCTCTGTCATCATTACCCTACTGTTGATGTGTGGGTTATGAAGGAGTATGGAGTTAAAGAGTCTTGGACCAAGATCTTTAATGTCGAAGATGGAGATAATCTTTGGCATAATTTTTATTCCCCACCACTATTTTTTCAAAAGAAAAATGGTGAAGTTGTTGTCTTACATGGATCGATTCTGATGGTATATGCTGACAATAACCCTCAACTTAAAAGATTCGATGGATATGCTGAAGCAAATATCTATGTTGAAAGCTTGGTTCAACCGTGGCTTATAAGAGGATATAGCAGTGACAGTGGTCAAAGAGGCTAATTGAACTATTGAAGTAACTGCTTTAAGCAATCTTAATATGCAAGTAATCACTGTAAGGATCATTCCCACAGAACTACTTGTTTGTTCAACTCCATAAATTCATCTTAGCAATCTGATAGATAATGCTTCTTGTCCTGATCAGCTTCTTCTTCTGGTAGTTTTTGGTTGACTTGGCAAGTACATCCTATCTTGTTGCAAATTTCTTTCTTGGTTGTCTTATGTTTACAGGCTAATTTGAGCTATAATTTGGGGCATTCATCGCAACGCATAGATCCGACTTGATGCTCCTCTGTTGCTTGTGTTGTTACTCCCTGATGTAATACGCTACATCGGAGTTAAGAATAAAGTTGCTAGTGGTTAACAATCAGGTCAACAATGTCCCAAGAAGATGGTTAAAGTTCACCTCTGATGCACCTGTGCTGCTGTCTCACACATGGTCTTTTGGGGTATGCTGAATGCAGCATGTCCAACTCAATCTGCACCTTGTACCTGATGATTTCTGTTGGTCACTTGGAGAAGGTGATCAGAGTTTTATTGTATTGAGTTAGATAATTTTGCAATGCAGAAGAAAATGAAATCCCACTTGAGTCATTGTTTCAGTCCCTCAAAGTCTCAACTCTATGATCTTGTAGCTTGATAATCTGCTGGTCCATGTGAAGTTCCTAATACAGAACCCATAATAATGCTTCCAAATTGTTGCTGCAGATTCTTGTGGAGATTCCTGTCTCCAGCTTAAACATTTGTAGTACATTATGGTATCGAAACCATTGGGAATCAAAGATTTTAGTTTGAAGATTGGTAATTGACAGGAAGATACTTCATTGTATCTATTTTATGGTTTGCACATTATTGATATCTTAAATCAGAATTCTCTTTTTTTTTTATCAATGAACAATTATTAATCTTTGATTTATCACAAATTGATTTCCGTTTTTTGCATAATTTGCTAAAGGTTAGGGGAAGGGAATAATGAGGTTAAAATGTTCCACAAGCTCATTGAAATGTTCAATTCACCACATAGGCTAAAGTAGTTAAACAATTACAACCCTGATTTGTTAATAGAAATGAGAAATGATTCACTAGAAGAAATTCATTGCTGTGATCTACTTTTTAATGTGGCTTTGATTCTTAAATTAATTAAGAAATTGGCCAGGATGTAGGCCAGAATAGTACCATAGAATTTAACTATGAATTTTAAAATTCAACTTAAGAAGTAATTAAATGCTTTGAACAGATAAAATTATGCTTACTCTTTTTTATTTTTCAAATTATTGCTGTTGTAATTAAGTTTTTTTTTTTTTTTTGACCTTTTTTCGTCTTGCCTTCCTACTGTATACCGGAGTTGGGGAGCTGCATGAAAGCCTAAGAGGAGAAGTTTGGAAGTTTCACAAGTTCGAACGGGAAAAGAGGTATTATTTTTGTGGGCCGATCCTGATTTGCCTGGACGTGTTTGTGCAATAACCATGGGAATGACCTTGGGCTGGCCCAAACATATATTGCTATGTGGAAAATTGAAATCAAGATGGCCTTGTAGTTTTAACAATTGCACCGACTTTTCCTGTTTGTACTATTTCAGTAACAATATAAACCCAGCAGCCTATAATGATCCTTAAAAATCCTAAAATATCCCATATGTTAGTGGGGGAAAAGCCACTCGTCACTTTCATCCTCGCTGCAACCATTGCAAATGGCAGATCCACCACGCTAACCAACTCATCAGCCACTAAAATTGGATTTTCAGATTCCCAAAATTTTTGACAATTCAAAACCATCCATTGTTACCCTAAAACTGCCAATTCAAATCAACTATAACTACTACCTCCAAAACTCAAATTTTGCCAACCACCTAATCCTTAGCCTCGATTTTTTGGCGACTGACATCAAAAGAAACTCTTCTGACATCCTAGAAAATCTTTGTTTTTTCACAAATTTGGATGATAGCGTAACTTCCAATTCCTCTTTCTACTTTTTGCCATCACTTTTGTTTTCTAATCTCTTTTATTATCATCCTTTTATCCGCACCAACAACTTGTAATTTGGGAATTTCAATTTGATAATTTTCCCAATTTATTTATAATGGAGAAGATCTGATGATATGATACAAAGATTGGGATGAAATGCACAATAGTGAAACAAACTGTGGTTATAGCTAAGGAAGGAAAAAATAGAGGAGTAGGAGGAAGAGAGAGCTGCCGTTCGTTAAGGATAGAAGACTGACCGTAGTTGCAAGGCATCAGTTATTCAATTTTTGCTGTATGAGATTATGTAAAAGTAAAGGTTATTGTAGTCATTTTACCGCTTGGAGGGCAGTCAGTGTAATTACTTAAACCTGAGGGCAGCTGAGCGAAATTGTCAAGAACCTTGGGAAAGGTTTCTAAAATTATCCCTTTTAAAATACTTGGGTACCTTTCTATTGAGTCCAATTTGCTCCCGAATAACTAACATTACTTAGTGAACGAATATTGCAATCATAAACCAACTGATTTTTCAATAACTTGAATGTGTATTCTCATTTTTCTTCCTTGTCTTTCTCCCTGAGAATTTGCTTTTTGATTCTGCAAGCTGGTAGACATGTTGATTGTCAAATATTTTTAATTAAGAAACAGAAGGGTTGAATGGAAATAAGATTTTTGGCACCATCGGTACTATTCTGCTGGTTATGATGAGAAGCAACTTCACAAATTCACGGCTTTTTTTGGGATTAGGGACACAAATGATTGTCAGATCAACTATTTTTTTATCAGTTTTGTCAACTTCTACAAGATGTCTATTCATTTCTTTAGGGTGTAATTCACTTTGAATATGAAATAAACATAGAACAAATTTTTGTGAATCTCACACATAACATTCAAAATGATATATATGCAGTGATCTAAGTGTTACATTTTTTCAGAGTTCACCTATAAAAAATGACAATAAATCATGATATTATTAAACGATAGACACTGTGACAGCCCCACCTCCCCCTAAGGCGAACCAGAGGGTTCGGCGGACCGCCTGCCCAACTCTCGCCGGAACTCAGTCGTTCACTTCAGTTCTCAATTAAAATCGAAATAAATCACAGGAATAAATATAACAACAACCTAAAACTTAACGCAAAACTTATGTACATTACTATCTCAAAAGGAAGTACAAACATCGAATATACAAAGGTTCTCAATTCACCACACCTCCAACCCGTGCCAAGCACTAGGGCGAGAACCATTACAAAAGAAACAAAAGAACTATACTGGCTAGTCTATATCGAGTTCACGTCCTTGCTCGCCTTCCCCTGTTAAGGAAAACAAACTAAAGGGGTGAGTTAAAAACTCAATGAGATTCCAAACACATAATCAACAACAAAGCCAATACATTAACCATCGATAATCAATAATTCAAGAAACATTTACAATGGAAAGCGATAATAACACATACATTAAAAGGATACGGGCTCACAGGGAGCCATTTGTTCGTTCATTCGTTCGTTTGTTCTCCTGTCATTCCCCTTATTCCTCCAATCATTTGAAAATGCATTTTTGTAAGTAAAACCCCCGTTTTTCGTTCATTTCATTCACCCCCTCCTGGACGTTGGCCAGGCTCCACCAACCTACAAGGTAATACTCGAGTATACCAACGTTCACACTCAGGGTCACCATATCGCCCGACCGAGTCCGCTTCTGGCTCGAGTCGATCGGTAACGAAGGGCAGGGCCCAGTTCAGCCAAAAAGCTTACATCATACACAACTAATGTATCAATCATTAAATCGTTGAAAATTTCACGTTTCATTTAGGTCGAGCGCGATAAAATATACGCTCGCCTAGAAAATTCGTTTTGGAAATCATTGGAAACACTTAACACATTATCAAACAATAACAACAAGTCATGAAGTCAAGGAAAATATAACAAACAAGGAACACTCACCTATGTACGCAAAACAACGTGCAAAATATCATTCCGGATATTATCTTTAATCACCGAGAAAACCTAAGATTAAACGAGAAGGAATATTACAACTCATCTAGCACAAACAATTACGTGAAATCAACGAAACTCGACAAATGATGAGTAGAACGTATAAAAAGACTTTAAAGTGAAACGAGGACATTTGGACCCGTGGACAAAAATAATTAGGGTTTCATAGACCAAACGTAAAACTAAACTCAAAAGGGTTATAAAATTTTTCAATGGAAACACTTGAACCAAAGACAAGTCGGAATCCAACTAGATAGGCTAAGAAATACTATTTTCGGGATCGTTTATATGGTTCAAAATCATCTCATATTCAAGTAGATATTATAGACTAAATGTCTTAATGAAATTCATGTAAAAGGGAGGACAAAATACTCAAGAAAACCCTAAACCACTCCTTTTTATTTGGGTAAGAGTAAGTAAACATTTGGAGTTTCCAATTGAAGAAGGATCATATTTTAAGATGGAAAACGGTTATAGTATTTGCCAAACGAAAATATACAAGTTCAAATAGAAACTTAGCCCTCGAGCGAAAATTTGGGCAGCACGCCCTTTGTATTTACCTATTTTTTCAGCCATTTATGGCTTCATTGTTTTCCTCAATCAATCCCAAAGTCACACACAATATCATCTCATTTCAATAGCCATTCCATAGGCTCAAAGTCATACAAGTACAAAATCAAGCTAACGACATGTGCGGAAATGAAGTTTAGCAAAAGGACAGATTTGATGTGATTTTGCGTAATGGACATAACCGAGGCTACGCTTATCGGATTGAGGTGTAATTTATACCGTTTGAAGCTAAGACAAAGAGCTATAACTTTGATGAAGACTACTTAGTCCAGTTCTCACCCTAACTAGGTCAAATGTACCAAAACAACTCCAGATTTTCCAGTTCGAGGCTCACTGTGAAATTCAACTAGCAGTCCTGATTCATTCACTCATATCTCAGCACACACAACTCCAATTCAGGTAATTCCAAAGCCATTTGAAAGCTAAGACACAAGGCTATAATTCTTAAGTAGACATCAACAACCAATTCGGTAATATTCCTGGTCAAACTAACCACTTACATAAGCTGATTATCAGTTTCGGACAGAAACAGGGTAGCAGGGGTATTTTGGTCTTTTCACAGGCTACATTGCTCCAATTGAGCTGAAATTTTACAGGAAACTATAAAACATTATTTCCTACAACTTTTATGTTTTGGGCAAGAGCTGATTCGGCCTCCATCATGGCCTAACAGGTCCAGGCAGAACAGGGTAAAAATGAAACCCTAAACTGGAATTCATGCATTCAAGTGCTAATTTTCCACAAAACAACATCTAAAACAACTAAAAACCACTAATAAGCAATTAATTGAAGTAAAGAGGATGTTCTTGGTAAAATATCTTAAAATCACAAGAAAGGTAGGAGCTTAATCTTTCCTCCTCCAAAATAACTCCACCAACACCTTTAACCTTCCCTAATGATCACTTGTATGGTGTAGTTTGTGATTTGGTTGGTTGAGACTCAAGATTTGAGCAAATTTGGAAGCTAGAAATTGAAGAGCTCTCTCTTGTTTTCCTCCTCAAGAGGTTCGGCCAAGACACAAGAAAAATGAGAGAAAATTGAGTCAAAATTGACTTTAGGAAAGTTAAGAAGGTCTTGGTCAAATCCAACATCCAATGGGTTTGTGACACTTGGCACCTTGCTTGCTTAAGCTTATCTCTTTGTCTCTCTAATACTAATCCATATAGGCAACTTCTAATTATCTCTTAACACCTTGTAAAATAATATCACTTAACCAAACTCCAACAAGTTGTCAAAAATATATCGCATTTACCGCACTAGCGGGTCCCACGTCCATAATACACTT